ATATAATTTGGTCACAATTCATATAATTGGTCACAAATCACAAATTTTATGTCACAAATTATTTTACGATCACAATTCAAAAATTTTATAGGTCATAATTTGTTCATAGATCACAAATCAAAAATTGAAACGTCACAAATTATTTTATGGTCACAATTCAAAAAATTTACTTGTCACAATTTGTTCATCGGTTACAAATAAAAAATTTTATAAGTCACAAATTATTTTACTGTCACAAATCAGAAATTTTATATGTCACAAATTATTTTATGGTCACAAATCTGAAATTCTATAAGTCACAATTTGTTCATCGGTTACAAATAAAAAAAATGATACGTCATAACTTGGTCACAATTGTATACAATTTGGTAACAAATTCATTTATCGGTCACAAATCAAAAATTTTATAAATAACAATTCATTTATCGGTCACAAATCACAAATTTCATTATACATCACAACTTGATCGGAATTGTATACAATTTGGTTACAAATTTATTTATCGGTCACAAATCAAATTTTTTGTAAATCACAATTCATTTATCGGGCATAAATCACAAATTTCATAAGTCACAATTCAAATGTTTAGGTCACATATTATTTATTATTAATAATTTATCGATCATACATTATTTTTTAGTCACGGAATATTCAAATTAATGGTCACAATCTTAAATAATTGGTCACAAACCCTCTTAATTCCACTACCTGCCCCAATCCACCAGGCACCACCACCTCCAACAACTACCACCACCACAACTACCACCAAAACCATCGCCACCAACAATATCCAAGAAGATCATTGCCACCGTCGCCCAAAAAAACCAACAAATCAAATCCACAACAACAGCCGCACCTCCACTGTCACTGCGATGATCACCCAACAACCAGCAACCACTACTGACATCAACACCACCGCCAACAACAAATGCAACAAACAAAAATCACCCCAAAAAAATCAACACAACGACAAAACTCATGAAAATCGCCACCATCTCAGAGCACCGCCACCATACCACAACCACCACCACTACCAACTGCACATAATCAACAAAGCTCGCCCCAAATTTTCCCCATATCGTAACCAATAAAACTCATACAACCAACAAAACCCCGACACCAACTTGTAGCCAAATTTTTGATAGATCCCTCATCATTCAAGGCAGAGGCAATGTTGCAATGTGAACAGCGATCGTTGAGGGCAGTGCCGTTCACGCCTTGGGAACCTCACGAAAATCGCCACCACCTTAGAGTACATCCACGCCAGCACCAACTACACACAACCAACAAAACTCACTCCAAATTTTCCCCCATATCGCAACCAACAAAACTCCGACACCAAATTGCAACCAAAATTTCCCCAAATCGCCCATCATTCATCGCTGTGGTGGCGTTCACGCTATTCACAGCGATGATGCATATCGCATAGCGACCGTTGTAGCAGCGCCGCTCACACCACACAGCAACGACGATTCGCAATGTGCACAGCGGTCGCTGAACGCGATGTCGTTCATGCCTTGGGCAGCTGCGACGTGTCTAGTAGAGGCAACATTTGCGGTGGTCTCCGGCGAAAGAAATAGTTCGGATAGAGAGAGGCGAGAGATGAGAGAGACGGCAAGGAGGAGGAGAGAGAAGGAGGGGATAGGGAGAGAATGAAATGTGATAAATGATTTGAGATTTTTAGGGTTTGGGTAATTATAATTTAGATCGAGATGAATTAATATTTGATTTTTGTATAAATAAAGTTTATATTTGAAATTGGAATTTTAAAAGTTTGATTTTGTGTAATTTCCTCTTAATATAAGTCAAAGTGCACTGGCCCATCTTTTAAACTTAACCCGACTCAATATTTAATTAATCCAATTAATTAAATTTGGTCCATGAATCAATTAATCCAATTAATTAATTCGGGCATATTAACAAGTAACTCAATTAGTTAATTGTACAACACTTTTTAATTAATTAATGAGTTAATTTCACAAACGGTTACTGAACTTATCTCAAAATTACAAAACGGTCACTGAAGTTTAAAACTTGCAGAAACGGTAACTGAAGTTTCATGTGCTTTCACAAACGGTCACTGGAGGACCGTTATGATTTTAATTGAAACTTAAAGGACCAAAACATGTGAACATAGAACCTTGATGACCTCAAGTGCAAAAAACAACTCAAACCCCCCAAAACCCAAAGAAATCGCCCTATTCTCTCATTCGATCAATCTCCTCCAAATTGGTCCTCATTCGTTCGAAATTGGCCAAGACCCATATGTTCGGTAGATGTGACATGGTGGGCCGGTACTAGGGGTGGTAGTCCTCCACCGTGAGTTGCAACGTTGTCATCGGAATTCGTGGTTAAAGGGGCCGACTGCGCTGTAGAAGAAAAACTTTGCATCTTTGGATTTTCTGATTTGTTTGATGTTATGAGGGCATCTGTAGGTGTGTAATAAGGAGATTGATAGACTGTGGGGTGGCTACGACATGGGTGTCGCCGAAAGTTGATTTTTCTACTATTTTTTGGTGCGTGTTCATCTGGTTTTGGTTCAAATTTTCGTTCAAATCTACCGGGGTTGAGGCTGGTGGTTGGGTGGGTTTTGAAGGGGGCAATGAGGGTTTCAAGGTTGTATGTTGGTTTGGTGACCAAGGTGACCAAAGGTTGGGTTTTTGGTTGTCTATAGTTGGTGACCGGAGTTGACAAAGTGTTTTGTTCCCCACTTTGGTGCCTTTTTTTAGCCAATTTTGACCAGGTTAAGGCCAGTGGTTGGGTGGGTTGTGAAGAGGGTATTAAGGGATTTAAGACGGTATGTTGGTCTGATGGCTAAGGTTGCCGGAGGTTGGAGTTATGATGGTCCAAAGGTGGTCGGTTGAGAGAATTTGGAGGGCATGGTTTTGGATGCGTGGGTAGCCCACTTTGGTGTTATTTTTCGGCCAATTCAGATGGAATTACGGCCAGTGGTTGGGTGGGTTGTGAAGATGGCACTGAGGGCTTCAAGACGGTATGTTGGTCCGGTGGCTAAGGTCACCTGAGGTTGGAGTTATGGTGGTCCAAAAGTGGTGGGTTGAGAGAATTTAGAGGATTGAATGGTTTTGGGTTTTAGATGAAATTTGCACTTGAGGTCCTCACGATTTTATGTTCACGTGTTTTGATCCTTTAAGTTTGAATTAAAATCATAATGGTCCTTCAGTGACCGTTTGTGAAAGAAATTAAAATTTCAGTGATCGTTTCTGCAAGTTTTAAACTTCAGTGCCCGTTTTGTAATTTTGAGGCAAGTTCAGTGACCGTTTGTGAAATTAACCCAGTAATTAATTGGCAAATTTCATTCTTCTGGTTCTCCTTTTGTATGTGATCCATCATATTCCGATAACAATACTTAACGACATGAATTATTATTTTAATCTAATAAAATTTGATAAATTAAAATACCCATTTTAATATATTACCAATTCACATTTGTCGTCTCAGATTGACATCTAACAATATGTCAGGGTAATACATGTGACGAAAAATATCACGTGGTATGATAAAATCAAACTTGTTCGTTTACCGTGAAACTATAATCCCTTCGCCAATATGATCCATTCAATTACGAGATATGTATATGTGTCAATCTCAATTATCGATCATATCTTTCATCCCACTATTAAGTCATTAATTGTGTTAAAAAATTGTATTAAAGTTAGCCTAGCAAAGTCGAGTTCATTTTTATAACTTAAAAATAGTAAATTGAGGACTACAAATATCAACTTAACCCCAATCATTCGAACACATGAATTATATACAACAATTTATAGCGTTTTGACGTTTAAAATAAAAATAAAAAACCATAACAAATTTTTCTTAGAGTTGCAAACTATCTACGTCGAGTCTGAGCCATTGTCTTCGATTCTTCTCTGGTTTTACTAGCAAGTGATGCTAACAATGAACAATCTTGAATTATTGATGGTTGTGATAATGAGAAGAAGATTAACAATGATATCCCACCATCTATAAAATGTATTAGAAATTTTTGAGTTGAAATAAGGAAGTCTGATGAAGATGATTTTACATACATGTATGATGATTTGGATGAAGACGAGTTTGAATTGGAATCCGATAAGAGTTAGAAAATATTTAGAATTTTTTAATTCAATGTTCGTATCTAATCTAATTGCAGGAATTGATTACCAAATAATTGTTGTATTTATGATATTGAGCATTATATTTTTATTAAAAATTGAATAATACGTATAAAGTTTAAGCCCCTATTTGGTAGAGATTAAAATTAGATTTTTATTAGATTTTAATAAAAGTTGATGAAATGTATGCTTGAAAGTTGTGGATCTAATTAAATGTATGATTAAAATTAATTATTGACTTTAACTTGATATTTTAATCCAAACCAAGAAGTGCTAAGTAATTGTATTTATGATTTTGAGTAATATTTTTTTTTAAATTTAGAAGAATATGTATAAAGTTTAAAGAATGTGTAATTTATATAATTATTAGTTTAGAATACTTAAAATAATATTAAAAATTTAAAAAAATGCACATTTGTGTATATGCTTTGCATAAGAACGCATATTTTTGTAATACTTGATGTTCGATCGAAACACATTGCTACACATTATGCATTTTAGAACTTTGATAACTACGGGGATATATGTGCTGCTAAACTTAGTCTATGTTTGACCTCCATTTTTTTCAAAAACTCATTTTCGACTACACATTTTTCCGTAAAATAATTTTACACATAAATTTAAAATCTTCCTTATTTTTCAGCCGCACATTTTTCGAAAATCACTATTTCATAATACATTTTCCTACAATAATGGGGCCTAAACAAAGGGCTTAACTAGTCTTTAATATAAAATTATTGATCTACCTTGCATTATTGCGTGATTATGTATATTACTTTTTTAATTACAATTATTTTAAAACTTGTACTATTGATAACTTGCACGGCGTAGCCTATAATTGGCATATTATACCCAACATTGATTTGTGTGAAGATTGAATAATAAGTAAATTTATTGTAGTAACACTTATGAGTGTCGGTCCATATTTTAAAATTAAAATCACGCATGTGATATGTTTTATTAAAAACAAAATGAAAAGTAGAAACTTTGGAGGGGGATTTGATTTGATCTTTCGAAAAAGAGAACAAATGTTGTACTTGCCATTTCCAAATATATGGAATATAAAAAAGTTGAGAAATAAGACAAACTTATATGATTATGGCCCTGTTTGGGAGGAATTAGATTTTTCTATAGTAAATCAATTCTCATTTTCAACCATACATTTTCAATAAAATAATATTTTCCATCACATCAATAATTTTTTATTCTTTTTCAACCACACATTTCTCATCATATCACTAGTCAAAATCAATTCTTCCCCCAAAAATCTCTCCCAAACAAGCTCTATATCCTGTGTGACTTTATTTCGGTCCAAGAGATGTAAAAATTCTCTTTGCATCAAATTCACTGGTCGAGAGAGAGAGAGAGTTCAAAATGATTTAATCCAATAGAAAAACCACCAAACTCATAGATACTCCCATGCACATATGAACGCTATCGTTGCTCTTGCTGCATCGACCCTTGTTTGGCCGAAGTTCGATGGTGAATCCACATTTTTTGTGTATTCTTCAAGACCCATGCGATCAACATTGCCTTGAATATTGACTTATTCTTACCATCAATTTACTTTTATCACTGATGTTACTGCAATTTTATGCATTTCACCACTTCACTAAAAAATCCTGATGTTCCTTTCTCCTCCAAGTAAGTAGTTTTTACTTTTTACAATTTCTTGAGTCGAGCCATCGAATATGATTACTGATAAAAAAATATTTTCTTATATCACTTGATCATATTTGGCCGAATATATCAAACATACTATCAACATTTCATTGACAAACTGATTGTATGTACAGTGGTGGAGTTAGATGTTCTTCATTTTGGGGGACAATGTAACATTAATGAAAGTAATCCAACACATTACTACAAACAATGCCTACACATTTTCATATTTTGAAAACGTCGTATAACTAAAATTGTTATCAATACTATCAAACATATCATCCTCAATATAGACAATTAAATTATCATTCAACCGTCGAATCTCCAATCCAGTTGTGTGATTCAAATTGTGGGTTGAGGGCCTTGAGGCGTCTAGTATAGCGGTTGAGAAAAGACGTGGTCGATTGCCGGCATCGGTGTAATGAGCTGAGTAGAAAAAAGACCATTATTTAGTAAAAATAACAAACCTAGGTATTTAGAGAAGAATGAGATTCAAGGCTCCAGATAAGTTTGCAGGCAAAAGTGAAAGGGAAAAACTCGTACAAATAGGAAGAAAGTGAAAAAAAAATTTCAAAAATTTCGATAGGGTCAGCTGATCCCACTTACCAACGTAAATCCTCCCATGTGTATGCAAATAATTTCCTCTAAATTAGAAGCAACGTGTGATCTAGCATTATTACGGTCGCTTAAGATCGGATCTAAAAGAAAAATATTATTCATCCTCAGTGGAGATGCATCCACAATTTATGTAGATGTAAATGATTGGTTAAATGACAGGTGAAATTAAATGACTTATTTAATTTCACCTATTATTTAATACCACATTAACGCCACATATACTGGGGATGCATCCACACTGGGGATGAATAGCATTTCTCGATCTAAAATAATGAAAGTCAGCTAATCTAATTAAGTTTTTATTTTATTAAAACGTGACATTAATTGAGTTTTTATTCTATTAAAACGTGACAGATGGTAGTTAGTGATTGGGGGAAAAGGGAGCATTTATTGAAACTGACATATTAATTATTAATCAGAATTAAAAAATTCATGAATTATTATGATTGGACATTGAATTTCCACTCAATGAATTATAACCCGTTTGGTACACATTAAAATGAGAGAATTCATTTTTTTTGAAGTGATATAAAGAAGAATATGTGGTTGAAAAAGAAGGAAAAGTTATTGATGTGATGGAAAATATTATTTTATTGAAGAATGTGTGGTTGAAAATAAGTAGAAAAATGGGAATGAAAAAAATAATGTGGTCCAAACAGGGGCTAATTAAATATCTAAATCATTTTTTTTCCTAAGGCCATATCTAGCCCTATTTTCTAACCCTCATTTTCCCTTCAATTTTTTTTTCAATAATACATTTTATTGAACACGTAACTTTTATCAACTTTTCAATTATATTTTCATCAATTTTTATCAAGACTTACTAAAAACCTAATTTTTTAAGTTAAACCAAATAGGTGCCAAACGTTTTTAATTTTTGATTATTTAACCTCTCAACATTTGCATGGAAGGACTGATTCGGTTGCACCATGGGTGGGTAAATTAAGATGAACACGCGCTACTCTTCGAGAAGAGGCTAGATTTTGTGGTTAGGTATCATCTTAGAATGGCGGTGGGAATGTAGGCAATTCGAAATGTAACCTCGTTGGGGATAGATGATGCTAATGCTAGTGTCGTTAATGAATCCAACACTCGAACGGTTTGTGTGGAAAAAGACTATCTTCGAACCATCCAAAGTTTGCAACATGATTTCGAGCAAGCTGTCATGCGCAATTATTGCTTGACATTGGGTTGTTACTTCGAGATGTAAGAGCTCTCTCATGTTGCTTCACGCCTAGAGAGAAAAACAGAGTGACTTGTCATTTTGTGATGCATGACAGAAACGTGAATAACAAAAGAATGGTCTTGTTCATAACACATGAACGGGTATTGGTCGAATTTCTTTCAAACGACCGGGAGAAATACTAAGAAAGGTTCATTTGACTGAAGTCAAGTGACCCATCAAAAAAAAGTTTGACAATTGGCAAGTGATACTCTGGCAGCAAACCCTAGAATTACGATAACTTTTTATAAGTCCTCAACTTACAAAAGCATGTGATTGCTGGATTTTGCATGTGACGAGTCTCTATTTATATCACCCAATTCTTGACGGTTGTTCATTCATTTTCCATCACTTCTTGTTCATCCCCAAGGTCACTACTACCCTTTCCTATTACACTCCGAAAGTATCCTGTCGTTGTCCTTCCTTTTGCCACTCTTTACAAAATTGGAAGAGGAAAAAAAGACTGGTACGTGTTAACGAAAAATGTGGTCATTTTTTATCCACTCAGTTTTTGCTCCTTTGCACCGCACAACTTCAGCTTGCACGTCTCTTCTCTCCCAGAAGAGGATAGCTTCTTAATTCAATACTCCGTTTACGTTCTTTTGAAGTTCGTCCATTGATTTTTTCTGTCAAAGGTTCGGACTTTATTACATATAGTGAGTTTTTACAAGGTGGGCATGAGAAAAGTGAAATATTAACCAAGTTTTCGAGGTGGGTTTTTTATTTGAGGGAAAATCTTGGTGGCTTTGCAATTTGAGAGGATGATGTCAATGACATGCCATAATCTTGAGTTTGCAAGAAGAGGGCTTGAATTTTTAGCTTATGGGTCCTCTTCCAATGCCTCTCCTGAGCGAATCTCTGTAAAAGATTGTGCAAAGGGTATGCTTAGGACTGTCAATGGAGGCTATAAGGGTCGGAAATTATGGTGTTGCCGGCGCGACATTGGCCCGTGCCGCGTGTTTTCGACAAATACTCCTGAAATTTTGCTCAATGGTACTTCTTTCTTCGATTAGCTCAACATGTTATTCTTAACTGAATTTGTTCACTTACTTCGATTAACATTTCAAAGCTTGAATCTTGGATGTTGTAATAGTTTTGATGCCATTGTAGGGGTTGCAGCCGGTCCTCCACCGGTTCTGGATTTGAATCACGAGTCGAGAAAGCCGGCTTCACTGAATAATTTGCTTGAAGTGGTTGCTGAAGACCTCCAAACACTGAATAAAAATCTTCAGTCAGTGAGTTTCTTGAACACCTTGTTCTGTACTTTTGCCTGTCTAGATATTAGCATGAGGAAATTGTTATTGCTGTTTGTTCTTTTCTTGAGAGTGGAGAGGGGGAAAAATATTGATGCATAGGCTAATGTTAAATTTTACAGCAAAGAAAGGGACTGTAAATCTTTTTAGATGACACGGAATTGGGGCATTGTAATCAGAGTTCCTGCTTCAAGAGAGAATATTCATAATTCTTATCCTGAGGCTTCAATTCCGTGATATCAGATATCTTGATAGTGTTTACTAAGTTCAATCAGAATGCTTCCAGGATAATCATTTGTGATGATGCATTCATCTTGTGGTCAATGACTGTGTTGGCTGATGGTGGCATATTGTACTTTGTAGCGAACTAGTGCTCTGTTGGCAACACGGCTTTCTTGCAGCTGCGTTAGTGAGGAAACTTAGTCAAGTGTTTATTGGCAGCACTATTTAAGATTTTAGACCGTACCATATTTAAGGATCAAGTTCTGATTTCTTATTCAGTTGAAAATCTTAGTGCAAAAATAAGTGTAAAACCAACTTCCACACAACTTTTTCATTAAGGTACTACAGTTACCAGACAATTTCCATGTTGATAATGCTAAAATATTATGAAAGCGGCGTGAAAGTGACTCTTTGAGGGATTTCGATATCGTCATCACTTATTTTGTTCCGCATGATATAATTTGTCGATATAACCATTTTGATGTATGTCAACCAATCAATTTTGCAGTAGTTTGCTCTGTGTTTAGTCTGGAGAAAATTCTTTCTTATCATGGTTTCTCATTCTTGATTTGTATTTTTAATTTCCCTACCATTTCTTTATTCTTCGATTTTGGGTCTTCCCTTCCCTGAATTTTTGTAATTTCCTACCTATTCGTTGACGTAAAAGGATAAGGGAAATGTCCTTCTCGCCTCATGTTCTTATTTATTCAGATCATATAGTATGTGATAGTAATAAGCGCTGATCTTCTGTTAGTCACTCTGTTATCTACACAATTTTGATCTGACAAATTGTGCATCTGAATATATTCGAGTTTTCGGTGCAGAATTTCCTGTTTGATGTCCACTTTTGATCTTCTGTATCTGACAAGAAAACTATTAGATTGTTGGTGCAGAAAATCCAGTTCTGATGTCTGCAGCTGAGCAAATCTTTGGAGCTGGTGGCAAGAGGATGAGACCTGCTTTAGTTTTCTTAGTGTCTAGAGCAACCGCAGAGATCATTGGCTTGAAGTATACTATCTGATCTTCCATTTGCGATTTTGCAGTATTCTCTATTCAAATTAAGTCACTTATATTTGTAGTCCTTTAATGGTTCAGGGAGCTCACGAAAGAACATAGACGTTTAGCTGAGATTATTGAGATGATCCACACTGCGAGTTTGATACACGATGATGTATTAGATGAAAGTGACATGCGGAGAGGTAAGGAAACTGTCCATCAATTATATGGCACGAGAGTGGCTGTGCTGGCTGGGGATTTTATGTTCGCTCAGTCATCGTGGTACCTAGCCAATCTTGAAAATCTTGAAGTCATAAAGCTTATCAGCCAGGTAAACTGGTCTCCATATGAAATTTTTTCACCCTCAAAAGTAGGGATCTTGCACTTACATCATTGACTCGATCCATTATAAAAATAAAAATAAAAAAATGACGAGAAAGAAAAGTCAACGTATTCCAAAAAATGCCCGTGTAAGAAATTAACCTTTTTTTTTTTTTAAACATTGTGAAGCAAGCTAAACGATTCCAAGTATCGTCTAACTATGTAGTTGGTGTTGCAGGTCATCAAAGACTTTGCAAGTGGTGAAATAAAGCAGGCATCTAGTTTGTTCGACTGTGATGTTCAATTGGACGAGTATTTGCTCAAGAGTTACTACAAAACAGCTTCTTTGATTGCTGCAAGCACAAAAGGAGCCGCCATTTTCAGTGGCGTCGACAGTGAGATTAGCGAGCAAATGTATCAGTACGGTAAGAATTTTGGCCTATCCTTCCAAGTTGTTGACGACATACTGGATTTTACTCAATCCGCGGAAGATCTGGGGAAACCTTCCGCGAGTGACCTGGCAAGAGGAAATTTGACTGCACCGGTGATATTTGCTCTGGAGAAAGAAACTAAACTGAGGGACATAATTGAATCTGAATTTTGTGAGTCTGGTTCTCTCGAGGAGGCCATTGATATTATTAAGAGCTGTGGAGGCATTGACAAGGCACGAGAGTTGGCAAAATCGAAAGCTGATTTAGCAGTCAAGAATCTTCAGTGCCTACCCTCGAGTTCTTTCCGATTCAGTCTTGAAGAAATGGTGAAGAATAGCTTAGAAAGAATTAAATAAAATGATAATCAATTCAATACAGATGGTTCCTCACTCAAAAGTGCAATAGCTGATGGTGTATATTTATAGAGGCTATTGTTCTTACGACCTTGTATTGTTATTATGGCTAGTTCAGTAGTTCTGGACAATGGCTCATAGGAAAACAGTGAAATTTAATATTGTTATACACTTGTTTGGCCCCCATTTTCGAAAATTATTTTTCTTCGGACTCCTTTTTAACCACACATTTCATTAAATTTTATCGAAATCTACTAAAATCTATTTTTATCTAAACTAAACACGGGATCAAAAGTCCATGATGAACAAAACTGTCGGGCAGTGTCATTCTCTGGTTTATGTTTTTTCTACAAAAGGTACCATTTTATTTAGAGAGTTAATAATAGAAGATGGGGTTATATGATCCATATAAAAATGTTTGACGTGCAAAGTACGTGAGCTATAGCATTTGCTTCACATCGAACGAATATACATTTTAAACTGACCCTTTGGTTAACTGCAAATCGAAGTCCTCAAGGAATGCTATACATTCGCCAATGAAAGGTGGAATATTCACTATACAACTTTAATAAAAAGAGGACAGTTAACGCTTTGGAGAAGAGACGGCAAAATACCCTTTGATCGTCCTTCCCAAACTCTTATTTTTATTGCTTGTGTTTCGATGGGAGCATCTTATTGCTATAAGAGTTCAACCTAAAGCTGATATTCTTTCATGTCAACGTTTCTTATCACTCGTGTTTTGACTAGAGTATCCTATTGCTATAGCCTACAAGAATTCACCTCCGGTCCTACCGCTACGAGGGTTCTGCCCAAAGTTGATATTCTCTTGCGTTAGCTTCCCTTATGGCTCATATTTGGACTCGAGTGTCTTACCGTTACAAATTTTCGTCTCAAGAATCATGCTTCACGTACAGGGACATATCCGTTACAGGACACTCACACATATGGAGTCCACACATAATTTTTTTTAAAATACATTTTGGGGTCGCCATGTGAGTGAACTGATGAGCCCTGGCGAATAATTCTTCGTCCTAAAGCCCATATTCTTTTATGTCAAGACTTCCTTACCGTAGGAAAAATGGAGTATTTTAATCCCTTTGTCTCTTGAAAATCAGTACTAATTAGGGTATAAAGGTCCAACTATGTGAGCCTTTTCCTTATCCATTCAATTCTTCAGTTGCAGTTTCGTCCCAAAGGAAAAAGAAGAAAAAATAAAATAAAAACTTCACCTCCAAGAAAATACTAGTATACTACTGCTATGGAGGGGACGAGACCATGATAGCAGAGCAAGAATCAACACAAAGAGAGAAATAAAGGGAAGTATTTGAATCTGAGCTCGAGAATTGGACTCAAATATGAGGGCACAATTGTTCCAATTCATGCAAAGATGGAAATCAACAGCCAAAGAAGCCATGGATCACACCCTCCTTTTCTCCAAATTCCTTTGCCTCTTACACGTTACCAACAATTATCTTTGCTCCCCTACTCTGGTACAGATTCATTGTTGCCGCCTTAAATTAGTTACATTATAATGTAATCGATTTATTTACATTTTTGTCTTTCTGAAGGTGTATGGACCGAGCATGCTCCCGACATTGAATTTAACTGGCGACGTGTTGGTGGTGGAGAAGATGTCGCATTTGCTGGGTATCGTGGGGCCGGGCGACGTTGTTTTAGTGCGGTCGCCGGAGAACCCTAGGAAAACAATTACGAAGCGCATTGTGGGCATGGAGGGTGATAGGGTCACCTTCTTAGTGGATCCCAGTCATAGTGATCGCTCTCACTCACTCGTGGTATGATTTTTTTTGTTAATTTCTTGATTTCAATTTCAATTCTGCTCTTATTTTTAGTTCAATCTTCAATCCCTGCACATTTTGTTGGGTGCCTTTGTTAGTGTGAAATTGGGTCTTTTCTGAAGAGGAATTTGAAACTAATGAGGTCTTGGCCTAATGGGGAAAAGAATCAAGGTCGAGGCTAGTTCTGCTGAGTTTGTTATCTGTTCCACTTATTTTTGTATGTGTTATTTGTAGATGGTGTTGATATGTCTTGTGCCTTCTAACTGTGATACAAAAATTGAAGTTTTGTTATTGGAATTAGAAATGATGCAATCCAACTTGGAATAGAGCTTTCTCAAATTCTAATTCATGTATGGACTTGGAGCTGCCAAACAAAAGCGTGACATTGATCAGGATGCATCTGCTCGGTGACGAAGAATTTATCAGATAAAAGAGCACTGATAATACATAAGTGGTTCATCTTTGTCAACCTATTATCAATAAAGATTCTATGAGGCACTTATTACCCAATTTGTTATGGATTTTTTTCCTGATTTAATCAGAAAAGAAACTAATTTTATTTACGTTTGGAACATTTTAAATGGTCACTAGCATGACATATATTCAGAAAGTTAAAAATAAATTAATGATAAGTGATCACTTCGATAAGTGATTATTCCTGTTATTATTTAGTTTGTTTAAACCAAACTAGATGGGGTTTTGGGGATAAATTATCAATTCATCCTTGTATTTGCCTGATTTCTACTCTTTAAGAATCAAAATGACCAACAGTCATGATTGAGGGGGTCGTGTTTGGTGGGTGCTTTTTGAATGGTGCCCTCTTGCTAAAGTGTAATATTTTAGTGATCTTCATGAATTCAAATAGAATCTAATTTTTGTGACCATGAGGCTAAAAGTGTTTTCATATTTAAATAGAGGAAAAAATGGTCTTTGTTTACTTTGCCTAACAATTTGGTTCAAAGCATCTGGAATTCTTGTGACGTATCTTATTGATGAGAAAATTACTTGAGCTCTGTGATTTCTAATGAAACAAATGTTATATGGCATTATAGTAGAAATTTTCTTCAATCTCCTGCATACTCAAAAGAGAGTTCACATACGGACTGTGAAAGCACCTGCATACTAACTTCATTACATCCACTAGCGATATGAAGTAATCAAATCCAATCTGCTTGACAAATTTTGAATGATCTTTGCTATAATGTTTCACGTCAAAGGATTTCTATTCCTTTCCCCGTTTGGGAAGAATTTATAAATGGTTTAATTTATAAATATATAGAAATGAGTGGCACATAAGTAGTTAGTACTTGTAGTTCCATTGGAATGTGTGGTTGAGTATGAAGTTTGACGATTTACAAATTTTAACAAAAGGAGGCATTTATGTAATCTCTTTGGAATTATAGGTGCCAAAGGGCCATGTGTGGATACAGGGAGATAATATCTATGCGTCGAAGGATTCACGGCACTTTGGGCCAATCCCTTATGGTCTGATCCTGGGAAAGGTTTTTTGTAGAGTAAGCTTCTTTTTCTGTTGATTAAATTTCTGATTTATATGATTTCATTTTTCTAGAGTTGTAGTTTCCCTGTGGGAATAATTATGAATTGCCTGCCAATTTCCGTATTGTGCAATTCTAAAGCCGAATAGAAACTTACTGTAACTTGCAAGATTGGAAGAAATTTTTGTAGGAAGATCGAGTCTGATAATTGAAATATAATGATTATTATTTGAAATACTTGTAAATGAACAATTGCTTGATATGGTGGTAAATTATTATATTTTTAATTGTGCATTGTGTCTCCAACTGCTGATTATACCGTTAACTTGATCATCTACAATATCTGAAATAATGGGGTTGAGGAAAGAACAAAAGTTTGAAGTTCGTTTATTGCGAATATTTTACACGAGCGAAGCTGTCCTCCCTTTGCTATTTCGCCTTTTTGTTCTCTTAATGATAACCCGAACCACTCCACCCCAGTCCTGAAAATATTTCATTTCCTGATCATCTCTTACTAATGAATATTTTTAATGACTTTATAACAAGTGCCAAAGATATATCTTACTGAGTGCTTCCGAGAGCCTAGGAAAACAAGTCCCTCAGAAATTTCATGACAAATTGCAGTGATAACAAGCTTCTCCATTGAAGGAACAATTTAGTCAATTTTAAAACATAACTTGATGTGTAGGTTATCAATCTAAATTATTATTATGATTCATTTGAAATTTGATTTTTGATTGTGGTTGATTTTTGAACTCTACTTTTATGTTGTCTGTTGTACAGGTTTGGCCACCTGAAGGGTTTGGCTTGTTGGAACAACAAGAATGATAGATATATAACTTAAGGTACGTGATCAACACCTTACCTTTGAGTAAAACGGTTGCTTGTTGATGTATATTCTTTTCCTTTTAGGGTGCTTTAATTTTTCATTCAACAGTTCTCATTGAACTTTAAGATGTGAAAGAATTTTCCATTGCTAGTCTGATTATATTTGACTCAGAAATGTTTGAATCAATGGATTGTAGTTTGCTTCATAACTGATTATTCTGGTCTGAATCGGCACTATAATTATTATCATCATTTGTCCTAGTTCTCCGTCATTACTCGGGGCACTGGGCTATATATGTCAGTATTGTACAATGAACGTTGTATGTATCAGGATTCTTGATGACATGATTTAGGAGTTGGGAGAGAGGAGTAAAATAGAGATCAACCAGCCTGATTGTATTTGTGCATAATAGTATTTAGTTTTCTGGTTGAAAAAGTTATATCCAAATTTTCTGATTTGATAAAACTGTCACTGTTTGATATCTGGCAACTTCACATCTTTTATGTTTTTGCCTACTTGTTCCCTGCAGCTAGAGCTTTAGAGCTTCTCGGAGGCTCCACTTTCTGATCAACCAGTTGCTTTATTTATGCATCCATTCATCAGAATTCGTGCCTGCTGCTGCTAAAAACCATGGACTACATAAATTATTCGCATGGCAATGTTTAGGGCAAGATGCAATTAAGAAAATGAACTCTTCTACAGAGACTCATCTTTGCTGCAGCTTGTTAAGATGAATGTTATCTTGTTAAATTTAGAATCTGAGTTATGATTGAATACATGATCAATCCATTCGGCTCAGGTGATGTGTGCAGTTCAAATATTTCTTGCCAAGATCACAATTTATTGTCATGACGTGTTTTTTAATTTGTTGAAGGTTTTTTTTGCATTAGTTGGAGAATGTCCCTTCACATTCTGTTGTACTTCTTAAGGTATCAAAATAAGGAAATGGAAATAGCATAAACCTGCTTGGTTGATTTTAGTTATTTTAAACTGTAAGAAGTTAGTTACCTTCAATCAATGTAGAAAGCAGAATTGATAAGTTTTCTCAATTTAACCCATTTTCATCCTTCACTATAAAGAAGCTGGTTATCAGCGACAAAAAACCATCCTCTGCCAAAAAGTCGTCTTCTACCTCATCTATAATTTACGGATGGAGTAATGCTATTTCAACTCAGTGGTGATAAGTACCTGTCTTTGTGACATACAGAAGTTAGACTTTTTAGCCGATTGTAGGCAATGGACTCTTATGCAACATAGACGCGTGTTGTGCACTATGAGGGCCAGATAGCATTATTCTTTGCGCAGGACGCTTATTAGAGAACCGGGTTTTGTTAAGATCAAGCGATTGATCACAAAGATGAGGTGTGAGTTTTCTTGTACAAATTAACTATCAAAATGTTGATCATTAGATGGTTGAAAGAGTTCATCCATGGTATCATAAATAAAACGTTGCAATTGCTTAACAATGAAATATTTGAATAAACTTGATAGATGATATGTTCATGTTCGATTTATACTCGAATCGAAGAGCTACAAGGGATAGATGACGTCTAATAGACTTGATATAATACAGCCAATTTGGAACAACATAGAGAAGAAATACAGTATGTTTCCTCTTCATTTCGACTTTGAGTGATGCATCCAAAAGCAATTGAATGACAAATTTTATTATTTTTGTTGCTGATGGGAACGAGGAAATCTGGAAATGTTACATTTTGGGCGAACATACGGACATATTGAACAGGGTGGTGAAAAAGGTTTCACTTTCACACGAGTCCCCTAGATGAAATATTGTAACAATATAATTTTAAATTAAAAAAGTTATAGCTTCTGCAAAATTATTGAAGCACCAAGCTGGGGTTGAAGGGTCATAACCGGGAAGGGAGCATGCACATGAGATGGAGACAGCTCAAATGAGAATTTTTGTAGAATCATTGATAAAGCCATTTTTGCCTCAATCATTGCAAAGTTTTGTCCAACACAGACTCGAGGACCTGCACTGAATGGCATGAAGGAGAACTGAGTCTTTGTTGCATTGACAATTCCTTCAGAAAATCTCTGAGGTTTGAACTCCTTCACATCATTCCCCCAAATCTTGGGATCATAATGGAGTAGGCCTATTAGCAGTGTCAATTGTACTCCAACTGGTAGAGTCGTGCTTCCCAATTTCACTGGCCTCGTAGGTGCACGAATAATCAAAGGTGCAGGAGGATACAGCCTCAAGACTTCTTGAAGAATCATGGTTACCTGCAGTTATGGTGGTGTTAAAAATGATAATTTCATTGTTATGGTGAAATATTGTAGCAGGAAATAAGAACTTTACAGTTTTAAGGTGGTTTAGTCCATCAAAAGTTGGTGTTTTCATCCCAAAAACTTGCAAAACCTCGTCCCTTGCACGGACTTGCCATTCTTGATGTTTACTTAGCAGTACCAAAGTCCACACGAGTAAATTTGAAGTTGTCTCAGACCCAGCAAAGTAGAATAGTTTACACTCCTCAATTACCTCTTCGATGCTCATTCCTCCACTCTTGTTCCCATGTTCTTGAATTTCTTTGAAATTCGATTCCATTAATATACCTAATAAGTCATCAGCAATAGCTACTCCCCTTTCCATTGCCTTCTCTCTTTTGTTGACAATACCCCTTAATAAGGCCTGAATTTCTTGAGAGATTGCTTTCACTCTTCTGTTTGCTTTGGTTGGTAAATATCTGTTAACAAAACAAATTAGCCCTTCAAAGAAACCAATATTCAAGTAATATCCATTATGTTTATGTAAGAATTTAATGTTTACCTCCATCCCGGGATAAAACTGAACTGAAATAGTTGCAAAACGAGCTCGACTTCTTCTTTTTGAAGCTCAAATATTCTCCTTCCATCTTCAAAATTACAACCAAACGCTGTCCGCGAAATCACATCGCCCGTTAAATCTTCAAGATACGGCCAAACATCTAGTTCAAGTGAACCTTTAGTTCTTGAAAATAATGCTTCCCATTTGTCTATCATATTGGAACAGCTCAAACTAATTTCTGGTACCATATTCTACATAAACAAATTTAATTTCACAAGTTCCATCAAGCTAATTTACATTGAAATATAATTGATGAGAAATTACCTTCAACTTCTCTAAATGGAAGGCAGGGTTGATTATTTTCCTATGTTTTGTCCACTTTTCATTTTCAAGAAACAGTAGGCCTCCCACAATGGTATCACGTATAGGGTCCGGATGTGGCTTCTGATATAGTCTGGGTTTCGTCAAAATATCCTTCATGAGCTCAGGATCTGTGACATTCAACCTTGGTGATGGCCCGAGCCATACAAAGGAATTTTTACCTGATTAAACAATATCCCTCGGACTTTTAAGAATGTATGTTGATTCTGAAGTAAATGCTGCTAATATTGAAAATATGAATTGTACTCAATGCAGCTTACCAAACTTCTTGATGATCTGGTGGTAATATGGAAGAATGTGAGATGATATATCATCGCAGAGTTCGACTGATCTTGGCCGTTCTTCTTTCGTGACAGTGATTAAGTCTTTCAGGTCTCCTATAAAGAATCTGTAAGCATTCCCATTAAAACCTTGCTTTCTTAGGCATTTCTCCAGCTTCTTAGGCCTTATCCAGACCCAATTAAGGAATTTCACTGTCCATGTTATGGATGCAATTAGGACACAGGTGAAAAGTATGCCGATTGTCGCATTCATCTTTTCCTGGCTAAATGAATGGATTTTTTATGTGTCAAATTTGCATATATAAGAGAGTCAAAGTTGAAGTCGAGGGAGAGTTTATTTTATCGAAGTTCTTAGATTTTATCCTTGTAAGTGCAGTCCATTTTGTCTAGACTTCCAATTGCCACCCAAGAAGAATCTGCCTTTTGTCAGCACTTTTTTGGCTCAAGGTATTGGTACCGGCTGAATAGGCTTTCTTTTCTTTATACTTTGTTCAATGCTCTTTATGTTGAGCATGTCATGTATGTTAGGCATGTTTTCGACTTTAATATGTCACTAATTAAGTTCTTAAGAGAGCTTTAATCCTATATTAATCTGTTCAATCCTGAAATCTTGAGTTGAAGAGAAAGGAATGTACAAGATTGCTTTATCACAAGTAAGGTTGAATTGTCGGAGACCAATTAATCATGTTAAGATGATGTTTTCAAATCCAAAAGTTACGATTTAAGTAATAACTCTTTTGATATATTTGGTACATTGTATAGCACAATATATAACAATCAAGATCCTAACTTATATTTCTTATTAATCCCATTTAAATACATTCAATCCAACATACCAAACATCTAATTAGGAACAAGGCTCGGATTAGAGCTTATGCAAAATCAGTGGAGCTCCATACTGGGGTTGAAGAGTGATAATGGGGAAAGAGAGTGTTTATAAGATGAGGAGAATTCAAAAGTGAAGCGTTGTAACCAGACCCAATTAAGGAATTTCACTGTCCATGTTATGGATGCAATTAGGACACAGGTGAAAAGTATGCCGCTTGTCGCATTCATCTTTTCCTGGCTAAATGAACGGATATTTTTTTGTGTCAAATTTGCATATATAAGAGAGTCAAAGTTGAAGTCGAGGGAGAGTTTATTTTATCGAAGTTCTTAGATTTTATCCTTGTAAGTGCAGTCCATTTTGTCTAGACTTCCAATTGCCACCCAAGAAGAATCTGCCTTTTGTCAGCACTTTTTCGGCTCAAGGTATTGGTACCGGCTGAATAGGCTTTCTTTTCTTTATACTTTGTTCAATGCTCTTTATGTTGAGCATTTCATGTATGTTAGGCATGTTTTCGACTTTAATATGTTACTAATTAAGTTCTTAAGAGAGCTTTAATCCTATATTAATCTGTTCAATCTAGAAATCTTGAGTTGAAGAGAGAGGAATGTACAAGATTGCTTTATCACAAGTCAGATTGAATTGTCGGAGACCAATTAATCATGCTGAGATGATGTTTTCAAATCCCAAAGTTACTATTTAAGTAATAACTCTTTTGATATATTTGGTACATTGTATAGCACAATATATAACAATCAAGATCCTAACTTATATTTCTTATTAATCCCATTTAATTACATTCAATCCAACATACCAAACATCTAATTAGGAACAAGGCTCGGATTAGAGCTTATGCAAAATCAGTGGAGCTCCATACTGGGGTTGAAGAGTGATAATGGGGAAAGGAGAGTGTTTATAAGATGAGGAGAATTCAAATGAGAAGCGTTGTAATATCATTGACAGAGCTGTTTTCGCTTCAATCATTGCGAAGTTTTGTCCAATGCAGATTCGAGGACCTGAGCTGAAAGGTATATAGGAGCCACCTGAAATTCCTTGAGAAAATCTCTCAGGTTTGAACTCCTTTGAGTCGTTGCCCCAAATCTTGGGATCATGATGGAGTTGGCCTATTAGCAGTGACATCTGTACCCCGGCAGGTAGAGTCATGTTCTTGAGTTTCACAGTCTCTGTAGCGGTTCGAACCATTAGAGGTGCTGGTGTGTACAACCTCAAAACTTCTTGGAGAATCATGGTTGCCTGTTAAGTCTAGTGTTAGGATAAAAAATCTTCGGAAAACAGTCATTTGTAAATTTCAGCGCATATGCATTTAAAATGTTAGTAGAAAGTGGTTCAGATTGAGGGTAATTTAAGGGATTTGGTGTGAGGTTTGATCCTAGATGTATTTGTACAGAAGCATGCAGATCCACTCTTGTCGAGCCTAATGGGATGTAGATCAAATTTTGATCGAACCCTGGTAAATGGTTGTGTTCTTGTGCCTTATTTTTGTTTATGCGTTGAAGCGAAGAGAAAACTTACAATTTTGAGGTGATTTAGTCCTTCTGAAGTTGGTTCTTCTTTCCCGAAAATTTGAAAAACTTCTTCTCGGGCTCGAGCTTGCCATTCTGGGTGTTGGCTTAGCAGTACCATAGTCCACACGACTAAATTAGATGTCGTCTCAGACCCAGCAAAATAGAACAGTTTACATTCCTCAATAACATCCTCAATACTCATTCCCATGTTCTTGTTTCCATGTTCTTGAATTTCTTGCAAATTCGATTTCATTAATAATCCCAACAAGTCATCTCTAACTGTTTCTCCCCTTTCCATTGCCTTCTCTCTTTTTCTAACAATACCTTTTAGCAAGGACTGTATTTCCTTGGAGATTGCTTTCAGTCTTCTGTTCGCTTTAGTTGGAAAGTATCTGTGTTCACAAAACATTACTGTCATCATAACTAAACAAAATTCTTCGCATAAACCTTGGCTTTTACGAAATTTTTTTTGTTACCTCCATCCAGGGATAAAATAGAACTGCATTATTTGCAAGGCGAGTTTAACTTTTTCTTTCTGGAGCTGGAAAATTCTTGTCCCTTCTTCATGACTGCTGCCAAATGCTGTGCGCGAAATCATGTCCCCAGATAAATCTTCAAGGTATGGCCAAACATCGATTTCACAAGAACGTTCACTATTACAAGCCAATGCTTCCCATTTGTGCATCATACTCGAACAACTCAAACGTATTGCTACCAGCGTGTTCTACGAGCAAAATTGGGTCCATGAATCAGGAGAAGTATGAACTTTTAGCATAAAGGTACATATGATCGAAATTATGAACAAGAGAGTGTTAAACAAGTGAATATTTAGGATCGGCTACATGAATCTTTTTCTTAGACGAGTTTGTTATTTACTATAGCCCCTGTTTGACATCCATTTTGAAGAAAAAATAAATTCTGGAATAGTGATTGATGAAAGAATGTGTGGTTAAAAAGTAATGAGAATTTTTTGGTTTATGTGTAGTATTAATTTATTAATAGAATGTGTGGTTGAAATGAAGAAAGAGAAAAATGAGAATGAGAAAAAATGGATGTCAAACAGGGCATAATATCGAAGTAAAAGTCACGGAAGATTAGACTACCTTCAACTTGTGTAGATGAAAAGCAGGGGTGACTATCTTTCTATGTTTAGCCCATTTTTCACCTTCCAGAAACAGAAGCCCTCCCACGATAATCGACCCCAAATCCGGCACTGGCTTTTGGAATACTTCGGGTTTTGATAAAATCTCCTTGATAAGCTCTGGATCTGTGATATTCAACCTCGGCAATGGCCCAAACCATATGAATGAATTCTCACCTGATGTTCAAGTAAGTTGCAAGGTTACTGATGAAAATCCAATAAAAGAGATTCATATGAAAGTTCATACCAAACTTGCGGATGCTCTGGTAGTAATAATGAGAAATATGTGGCGCCACATCGTCTGAGATTTTGATTGATTTTGGCTGTGTTTCTTTCATGAATCTGATCAATTCTTTCATGTCCCCGGTAAATATTTTGTAAGGATTTCCATTGAGTCCTTGGTTTCTGAGGCATTTTTCGAGCTTCTTAGGCCTTAACCACAACCAGTTTAGCAATTTCACTGCACATCTTATGGATGCAGCTATGATGATAGAGGTGAATATTGAGCTGAGTGTTGCATCCATTTTTTTTCCCCAGATAGACAATACCACCACAAACTTTACCATTAAAAACTGATGGTTGTAAATTATTGTTCTACTTGAAAATATATTTTAATTAAATTCACAATCTAATTAGTCAATGACACTGACATGAGAATTGTCTTTATTAATTGATTATAGAGAGAGAGAGAGAGTTGTAGATTTAAACACCGAAAAAAAAAAAAAATACTTATTAACAAGAACTCTTATACAATTTAATTATATTGTACAAGGCAATACCCTCACTCCAATAATTGATCTGACAGACTTCACTCAACTAACCACTCCCTTGCATCACACTTTTCTCTCTCTAATTCTATCAATCTCTTAGTTATAGTGATCAAACTCTTATTATGGTGGTGCAATTTACAATTCATTGTCTTTCTGGTGCTTTTCTTTGGAGGCTCAAAGGGTGAAATGAATCATATATAGCTTCGGTTGCTCTAGTCTGTTCGTTACATGTGATGTCGTCTTCATATACTCCATCCAAAATCTTCTTTGTCACATTATTTGCATGTAGCATATGGTGTCAATTCTTTCTTTCTGCTATATTATTTTGTTGTGGCGTGTTTGGACATATCGACTGATGATGTATCTCATGTTCTCGTAGATATTGGGTGAATTCTTCAGATGTATATATCTCTCCAACTATCCATGCGTAAACATTGAATTTTATTTTTGACTTCTCCTTCTACTTTTTCTTTGAACTCCTTAAAACTTAATAAAAACGTCAAGTAGTACAATCGACCCGTAACGTCTCACCATCTTCGTATTTTTTCGAAGATTGTGGGCTATTTTATTCCAATTTCCGAGAACAAAAAAAACCACATCCAACTTCCCTAAAAGAGCTACGATGTCAAGGAGAAAGTAAACAAAAGATCTTAGCTGTTGAACAACTATGTGAGTGCATCACATTAAGCTACATTTGCATTCTCTATGGCCAAGATGAGGCCCTCTCGTAGAGCAACAGCCTCAGCTTCCTTGGGTGAAAAAATGTTTCTCCACTTGTTTCTCATCAAAGTCCGCAATAAACACAACCACACGGTCCCAGTTACCTTTCCAATACCAATAAATCTATCAGCTGTTTGAGTAGCAGTATCCACGTTTAATTTTAGGCAAGTCGGTATTTTTCTCAAGCATGCGAGCTCCTGCTGGTGCTTTTTTTGGCCGTTGATATGACATGATCAAAGAGTATAACATGTTAAGGCCCTGTTTGAGCCCCATTTCCTGGGGTGGGGGTTGGAATAATGATTTTTTGGAGAATGTATGGTTAAAAAATAGGAAAAAGTTTTGGAGTTACATATAATATTATTTTACGAGAGAATGTGCAGTTGGGAAAATGGAGCTCAAACATTGGCTAAGAGTGATTAGAAGCTTGATACTTCGATTTATTCCCACTTAATAAGATCAGGTAATTGGTCACATGGATAAGATGTGACACCCACCGGGCAACAGATCGCATAGCTGATATGTGAATTTTCACACACATTGTTTAATCAAACCTACAAATAGGGGTGGGCGCGGGTCGGGTTGGTTCGGTTCGGTTCGGTTTTTTTCGGTTCCAGAAATTTTCGGGTATTTAGTAAATGGAACCGTCGGTTACAAATATAATTTTGGAACCGGTCGGGTTCGGTTCGGTTCTGTACTATAATTAAATTTTTTAACATTTAAAATAATACTACATAAATACACCTGAAAGTAGATACTAATATTAATAACAAAAAGTAGATATAAATACCAAGTTCGATCTTAACTTTTACAAATTAACGTAATCTAATTTAATAACATATAAATAATAAGTTGTCAAATGCAAATACGAAAAAGTAAATATTACTAATAAAACTTCGATAATTCATATCAATAATTCATTTGTTTCAAACATTCAAGTTTACATAAAAATGAAATATAAATTAGAAGTAATAAAGATAAAATATGTTAAAATATTGATAATACTTACCAACTATTTAATGTAATAATCAGTTGCTTGACTTTCCATACTAACTATTAAGAGACTATACAAGAAAAAATTGAAAAAAACATAACTAACAAATATAAATAAACTCTAAATTGTTCAACTAATAAGATTTAATAAGAAAAAAATTATTAATTTATTTAGAAAAAATAAAAGAAATTGATTTATCCAATATAAAAAAAAATTCGGTTCTTCGGTTCTGGGTCTAGAACCGAGAACCGAACCAAACCATTCAGATCTCGATTTGGATACCCGTTTAGGTATTTCATTTAAAAAAACCTGCTCGATTCGGTTCGGTTCGATTTGGTTCCGGTTCGGTTTGGTTCGGTTCGGACATTTTGCCCAGCCCTACCTACAAATAACCCGGGCAAAGTTGGAGATTGTAACAAGAACTTTAATATATGAAGAAACTTGGCTCCAAAGCACATTACGAAGTCACTTTCCTTACGGCATTATTTTCCACCACCATACTGGTGATGCACATGAGAAATCAAATATGCCTCCAGGATAAAATGAAAACCGAATGTGCTGTTTGTGTTGTGCACTAATGAAAACAACTCGAACACTAAGGAGAGATGAAGCCATACAGTTTTTATTTTGTCTTTTTGGAATAATAAAATACAAACTTGCTTTTGTGAAAAAGGGTGAGAAAATATATGCGAACAATCTATCATGAAGAAGGAATGAGGAGAATATCAATATCACATATTTCATCATGTTTTTAATCAAAGAAAACTTAAATCTATATATAGATTCTTGTCAAACCTTTGCTAAATTCAGTTATTGGACGAAAATGCACCATTAATTGGAGACTCTTGGTGGCACGGGTGCACGCCAGGCAGTTTGCTAGCTAGCGTGGGTGCACTAGAAGGTTTTTCCTAAGCAAGCTGGCCAGATGCTGGCCAATGTCTTCGTGTCTCATCTTTTTTGTTCATCAATCCATGGGTCTGGACTTATATTTCCATCTTTGATATAATATCCAATGTCTTTTGAAAATTCTCTCCTACAATCTTCCATCATTTTCAAAATGAAGGAATTTTTGAAAAACTCTTGTGTAGACTTCACAAAACTTATACATAAATGAATGTGTTTTTTGGACTTGAACCTCCACCTAGTAAAAATGCTTCAAATGCTAACCAAGGTGACATAGTAGAAAAGCTTTTGAACTAGTGACCTTATATGGCTAATGATCGCTAAAATTCTGCAAGTGCACACTATCGTAGTCAAGCAATAGACAGTAAATTATCTTTTGAAGATGTTTTTCTATTTTCTTACAATTTCACTTAACATTCTCCTCCTTGTAAGAATAATAACACTTCACGTCTCTTCTAGAACAAGATTGAAAACTATCATTCTTATATCATAATTATTTCCTCACGATTCAACTATCCCATATGTCTTATCCCAAGCTTTGCCATGCATTATCTTAGTTTCCAGTTTCAGTTCTTATGTTGCAAACATCGTGCCAAACACCCCTTTCAGTTTGAGGGAAGTTGTTAATATTGATGAGGCTACTGGGAGTTCAGACCAATAAGACTATTGAATTGAGTTCGACGAGGAAGGCTAGATCTAGAAGAGGAAATCTGATAGAATTATGGCCTGTTGACTTAAACTGATTCTCCACTCCTAGATCAAGCTAGTGGTGTTATTTGTGTTTATTCCTTCGCGAATTTTGCAATAGAATGCACATATAGGGGTGCAATTTCCTGTTTTTGTGAAATAAAGACTAAATCACACTGCTCAGTACCTATTGAAATGAGCTCCAAAAAATCCCAACTTAAAAGTTCTCATGCATACTGTTATGTCTATCTTCTTTAATCCTATTAGTTGGTATTTTAAGCTCTCCAAATACATGAATAAGAGCTTTTAGTTATGAAAGAAAGGAAAGTAACAAAGCTATGTGGCAACAGAAATCATAATGCCTTGAAAAAGATGAAATACACATACAGAAAGAAATGAAGTTAACTATTGTGACCACTTCTAGCTACTAAGGGTACTCAAGTTTTTCTATTATTAGTTTATACTTTAAACAAATATCAAACACGCACGTAAGCACAATGCAATCTTTCATCTCTATATTTTTCGCAGCTTTATGTGAACCCCTCTTTGGGGTTGAAGAGTCACCACAAATGAGGGAGCATGAGTGTAAGATGGTGAAAGCTCAAAAGAAAAGCGTCGAAGGATCATAACCAGGGCAATTTTCGCTTCCATAAGTGAGAAGTTGTTTCCAATGCATATCCGGGGACCCCAACTGAAAGGGAAAAAAGAGAGCTGATTATTCGTCGCCTTTGCGATTCCTTGAGAAAATCTCTCTGGCTTGAATTCTTTTACATCTTTCCCCCATAGTTGTTGATCGTGATGAACTAAGATTATTGGAAACAAAAATTGCAATCCAGCAGGTAGAGTCATTTCTCCCAGTTTTGTCTCTTCATTTATAGTTCTTGTAAATAGGATGGCAGGTGGATATAGTCTGAGAACCTCGTACAAAATCATCGTTACCTGCAAAATTGATGGTTTAAAGGCTATGGATTTATCTAAGTACTATATAGTTATTTCTTATACCTTGGACAGAGAATCAAATATGTGTTTTTTGTCTTTCATTTATATTTCATCTCCAATGTCAAAATTCTTCTTAAAGATTCGCATTTAATTTTTATGAATGGCTGATGGTAAAACCTAAAAGCATGACTTTGTCTACTCGCATATCTGACATGTGCATAACTGAAACAAATCATCATTTTTTCAACAGATAACTCTGATTATTAAAGAAGTTTCTCACATTTTAAA